GTTATGATTATTGTTCTTTCACTGTAGTGTCTAATAGGATCACAGTTCTGTGTAGAGCTAGAAAGAGCTCTGATCATTTACTCCATTTCTCTTTTATTGTTTTATATTTTCTCTTCCTCATTCCACATCTCTCTTCCACCTTTTCCTCCTTCTCTCTTTCTCTCTCTCTCCCCCCCTCTGCCTCTTACTGCCCCCATTTTTGCTATGAAAAAACCACATACATTTCAAACATGAACTAAATTGACACCCTACTAGAAAAATTTGAAAGCGTGCTAATGTAATAGGGACTGACATGAAAAATGCATGATCATCGAAGGTTTTGCTTGCTTTATTTTGTTTTGAGGGATGGTGATTAGTAGGGGCATGGAAGTTTGAAAGCGTGCTAATGTAATAGGGACTGACATGAAAAATGCATGGTCATCGAAGGTTTTGCTTGCTTTATTTTGTTTTGAGGGATGGTGATTAGTAGGGGCATGGAAAGAAAGTTACTGCTTGATTCCAAAGTAAGGTTGACCCTTTTACTTTGTTTCTAGGAAATTCACATGCAACTAAGAGATTTGTGTAATAGTAGTTTCACTTCTAATGAAAGAAAAGAAACTAGGACCTGAATGAGTATTTTCTAGATTCCTAGAAAGGAGAGTACTATGGTCCAGATGTACATACACAAAAGAAAATTATCTGAACTGAGGGTGATAGGATTAGAACACACTTTATTCACCATTCACCATCCCCCCCCCAAAAAAAAAGAGAACAAGACCACATGTGGAAAAGAACTTGTATTTTGATATTTCTTCTTGAAATGAAAACAAATCCTGTTGACTTTCCTGGTTACTGAGGCCAAGTGGCCAACCCTTCACAGCCTCCGAGTTTATCTGAACTTCTTCTTTACGGCTCTGGGTGGAAATTTTGCACTACATACCATGAAGTTGATGTGACATCTGTGAGGCTCCTGAGATCTTGCTGTGTAGGCAGCTCTTGTGATCTGTTTGCTGTTGAGCCTCTAGCATGAAATGAACTGGAGACACATTGGCTTTTCGATCCCAGCGTGGAGGGGAGAATGTCTTTGCTTTCTAGTGCAGGGGGAATAGGGAAGAAAAGAGTTGGGGTGGAGTGGGCTGCCCAGAGCATTGGCCTCAGACCCATGTGTGTGCATTAAGATCGCTGGGGAGTTGGTTAAATCCAAGTTTTCAGGCCCAGCTCAGTTCAGATGCAGTAGGGCAGGGTTGGGCTGAGAATCTCCATTTTAAGGGAATGCCCAGTTCTGAAGCAGGTGGTGCAGGTACAACACCTTGAGCAACACTTGAAGATCCAGGCCCAGGGACTTGAGAGTTCTTCAGTAGACTGTAGCTTCCTAGACCTTTTATTTCAAAGCCATTAAAACTTTGTGCTTGGCTTTTTGAAAGGTGGGAGGGTAGAATCAATCGATTGTGCCCCCAAAACACAGTCTCAGTTCTGTGGAGTCATGGCTGTCAGCACAGTCTGCAGACACCCAGTGAGTCTGGCAGACTGAATGGGCTGATGGTGGGAAAATGGGCACCAGAGTCTGGGAATGAGAATTTCTGAGAAGGGGAGGGAGAGACCTGGCAGGTGCTTATGGAGAGAGGAGTTATCCCATCTTTATGTTGTAGTGCCAGTGCCCAGTGTGGCATTCACAGGAATGACCACCCTCTCAGTAATCAGTGTCCCATCTTCCCTCAACACTCACTCATCTAGCTGCTTACCCACCCTCCCACCTCTGTCCTTTGTGTCTCTC